TAGCGACACATTTTGTAGCTTTTCGTAGTGCGTAGCTCATACACAAATTTAACGTTATATACATGTAAAGTTCTTTTCACCTCAATTTAACGTGTTGGTTTACTGATGATTTTAAGTAATTGGTCATTGATTCATTTTTTACTCAGTTCTGAGGTGCAAGACACAGTTCATCAAAAATCAACAATGGCCGGATCATCAAAACCCGTACCACAATAAATCCAGTAACTGCCCGCATCAAGGGACCGTGTGACTGCGTTGAAATTTTCACTCTACCGTCTTTTGTCACTGACAACACTTGGGTCGTGAAACAATGCTTGTTTATACAATCTTTGAAATTTGCAGACATGAAAACCTTTGCCAGTATTTTTGTCAAAGGTCAAAGGATTCATCATTTTATTTGATTCACCTCACACAATACTGAGTTCTCTAGAATAAACTACGCCCAATTTCTTGTTGCGGATTGTTTGTGGTGTCATTGTTTCCTAGGTAACTATATCAATTACTTGCAATAAGGGCTATAATATTCACACTGGCGCATAGGAGTCGGTGAAAAAATAATAGGATTGGTAAAACCAAAACCAAGTTAAACAGACTGGCCTATCGCAAGGAACACAGGCAGCCGGAGAAGCAATTCAAATTGGGAGAAAGTACTGTAGCCGGGGCCAAGCGCGAGCAAGTCACGATTGGTTGATTAAATGAAATATTGAAGTGGGGCGCGTCTTTACTGACTCGTACCCAGTCGTCTCTCATGAAAAAAGGTATGAGACAACTGAGGAGGAGTCTGGCAACCGAACACTAAGCAGTTCAGAAATGTCGTGTTGAATTAAAGGTTTGGGATCAGATTTGCTTCAATTTCAGCGGCGTAATAGCTTGATTGCGAGTGATTTAGCTCAGTGGACGCCTGATGCTGGCAGAGGTTTTAACGCCATTCTTTTTTTGCCGTTGTTCGTTAGCAGATCACGTGAGAACCATCCTTGCTCATTGATTTGTGAGTTGATTTTAGAGAGGAAACAATTCCCTTTTAACGGTTGTACAGTTTGTTTTGCACTGCGTTCCGTGAGAAAAAGATAGAAACATTTAAAAAAGCAGCACATCAAACAATGAGTTGAGTACCTCTTGAAGTGATGACGAATGGCAAGAAGAACTACAAAGGAACACCACAATCAACTTAGTGGAGTGTGACGCAAGATTACACATCTCTTACTTGCTCCCAAACAAACACCATTAGCGGTGAGGCGTGTCCAACTCGTGCGTGGCGGAGGATACACGAGAGGCAGCGCGTTTCGCGAACTTCGTGGCAACCTCGTTATCAGGAACGAAACTTTCGAAAGTTCTCACGGAAATAGTTCTGCAAATATAACGCTTTAAACAATGATAACAACAAAAGCGCTCACAGTGTAAATGGTGAGCTTTTCTGATGTTTCCCGACTTGTTTAATACTCTGGTTTTGTGGCTTTCCTTTAACTAAAACTCGCGAGTCACTGTGCCGAACAATCGAGCAAATCTCAATTATTTTTTTGCGTGGATCGCGCCGCGCGAGGCTAGAAAACGCACATAAAGACTTGGCCGCAAGCAGCAAAACACAGTAGAACTAATAACTTTTGACAAGTCCATTTAACGAGCTACATTGCAAATAGTGCATCTTAAAAAAATTAACTTAATGCTCTCTAAGTTGTCTTTCGTTATTTGTTTTAATCTTTCGCTTGCATTCTTCGCCATCGGCCTGTCGATCTTTTTGGTCGATTCAGTCTCGGCAATTTTATTACATCCGAGAGCTATTAGTTTGAGTTTTCCTTCAAATTCAATGCAATTTGTTAAACAGTAAGTTACTGTACTAATAAGAGAATCTTGAGCCACAAAGTAATTAATTCAGAAAGAGATGGAGGCAGTAAAATTAATTTTTAGGTCTGAGTGGTTCAGTTTTTTTAGGCGTGAGTCATGCTAACTTGCTAGTTCAAGGAAGTTCAAGGAAGTTCAAGGCCAATTGTCCGGCAGAGTACCGGACGATGACTGCGGTCGTGTGCGATATTTTGGGTTTTCTTCCTTGTTTAAAATTATAAACGAAATGAGCTGTTGTTCCTTAACAACAGGTGGAGGAACTGGGAATGGCGCTCTTCAACCGAGGCATCTGGATAAATTCAGTTTATCCTTCATGTTTGGTAATGAAAAGCTGCTAATTACAGTTGTTTTGAGAAAGATTGTTCTACCAAAGTGTAAAAGCCGGTGTAGGCAGCAAGGTCGAAAGGTATTATTAGTAATGGTAGAAAACAGCTCTAACAAGTGTATTGATGCTTCACCTCAATCAGTTCCTGTTTGCTGAAACACCGTGAACCTCAACCAAGAAACGATAAACTATTACGACCGATAAAACCAGTCAGCATTGTCGCGTACGCTTTTACGCCTTTGTGAGACAACCTTTGTCGAAACAGCTGTTTACACTACAATGTAGTCAACAAACAGTTTTAAAAAATAACATTAATTACTTGTGTAGGAGCGAAAGATGTTACAATTGTCGACTTAACTACATGATTACAAATTATTGACGTCATTTACGGTCACTGCCGTAGGAAAGAAACAAACGATTCAGTTATTTTTAACGGTGGGCCAATACCGAGGTTTCAGCTGGGATTTTTTTCCCTTTAGTTGAATTCTCGCTGATTATTTTTATGTCGAACAGTCACTGACCCACGCAAAATGGCGGAAGTCAGTTTCACATGTCTACAAGGCCGCGTCCACAAAACGGAGGTGGAAACGCATCAAATGTTTGCCGTCCACACTACGCCGAAGAAATTTGAAAACGCAACAATCACCGGTCATTTTGGATTTGTGTTTGGGTAAAACTCGAGTAGATAAATCTCAGGATTATCGTAACTTCATCGTTTTCTAAAAGCTCCGTTTTCAAAATGTTTTTTGTCCACGCTAAGACGCAAAGCTGGCGTTTTCGAATTCCTCGGGTTTGAAGAGCGTTTTCGAAAAGCTCCGTTGTCGTGACGGATTAGTGTGGACGGTATAGGCCTAACCGGAGAAGTAAAGCTGCGTTTTCAAATTCCTTCTGCGTAGTGTAGAGTATCACGGACAACTTTGCGGTCAGAATTTAGTTTGTTTTCCGCATGGAGTTGATATACGCATACTTCGTTGTCATGTAACAGCAGCAAAACAGTCGTCTGTGTTTGGTATCATTTTGTAGCTGGCATGAATTAATCGCTGGTCCAGGCAACGGGTAACATGGTTACCAGTGATTAATCACAAATAAACTGTAATGGACATTTTAAACTGCATGCATACATGCACAAACTTTATTTAAGTGTTAATAAGTGGACCGGAAAATTGCTCTGTCATTGCAATAGGATAGGTTTAAGATCAGCTATCTCTGACTCGAGGAAACGGGTGAAATAGCGGATTTGCACGTTGTCCTCATTTGACTATAACTACCAGAATTCCTTTCGTTTTTTCAGGCTGTCGAGCATCTCATCTGGTTTAGAGATTCATGAAGTCAGCGCAACTAAGAGGGATTAACGAAACAGAAAATGCCAGGACAAACGAAGTCCTGGTTTTTGTTAGTAACGAGTCTTCCTCTAGCTCAAAATGATTCAGCTAGTAAGTAACGTTCAAACAAACTCTGTTGTTGAACTTTTAGAACTAAACGACCGTGAGCACACAACCCAATAGAATCCTACCAGACAGCCTAAAATTTAAAGAACCCCTTTTGTTTCAGGCTTGCGAACTGAGTTTTCTTCAAATATACTAGCTGGAATAGAAAAGACCTGGCTTGTAACAACCTGAAGGAAGAATGTGATGTGAAGTAAATGAAATCAGAAGCACAGCAGTCAGTCGCTGTTAAGAGAATATTGAAAAGGGAAAAAAAGATTTGCTTGACTTTGTACTTCAAACGAGTCGACACGCAAATCGTTTGAAAATAAACGAAAATAACATTTCCTTCTCTGAGATGTGATTGATTGATTGAGTGTGACGATCTATTTGAACTAAGGAACTGCAAATAAATTTTCGTTTTGTTTGCATCGTAAGTTAATTTCCGGTAGCCTGCACTTGAAGATTCTTGATGTGGGAGGGTTGAAAGGTTAAAGGCAAACACTTGTTTAAAGGCGTTGCTTAGAAACGTTTTACCGGAAGCTGCGTGAAGTTACTTAGTTCCTCTATCCGTTACCTTTACTCAATGCTTGACGTCAGAGAGACGAGAAAAGTTATATAAAACAAGATTCAACGGAGCCGACAAGAGAGCAATTATTTCATTAAAATGGGCAACAAGTTTAGTGTTGGCAAAGCGAGGTATTATCGCCCCTCATTGTACACTA